TACATAATATTATTTAAGTTGTTGTATATATTGTTTGAATCTTTATGGAGTTAGTTTTTGGCCAGATGTGTATTTTTTTTTTTTTTTTGTAATTGTACATTATTATTATTCTAAGGGGACATCGTCCAAGAATAAAGTTTATTTTCTATTTCTAAAATATTGAAGGGACGATATCGATAGAAGTAGATGCCATCGATGATAAAATATCGAACATCGGAGGAAAAATATCGATATTATCGACTATCGATGCCCATCCTAGTCTTAGGTCACCAATAATGGCAAACCTCCCAATTCCTCTTTTTCTCTTCTGGTTCATCCTCACGTTGCAGATTTATTTCAAATACCCTTTTTTTGCACATTTTTCCCAGATGATCCTTGAGTAAAATTTTCTCCAATTCTCTGTTGTCCATCCCAGACTGGCTCCTCTTTACTTTGGATATCGTAATTTTGAGCTAGCTTCTCTCTATTGCTGGTACTCTGTATATTCTGTTGTTATCACTACTGCAACAGGAAAAGGATACTGATTTTGCTTTTGTTTTATCTATATTATTGATCTCTGTATAAAAAAAAAAGGAGTCGAGCACCTTTTAGAGGTCGGATATCAACTAATGTAGAATCTAACTTGTCTCCAAGGTATTTGATAAGGATATTAATGTACTTCTCAAATCCATAATTAGAAAAATAATTAATTACAAACAGGAGTCCGAATGATATTGATGTCAATTGTAAATGCATTAAGTGGTAAGTTGTACTCTCCAGTACCAAAGAGGCTCATGAATTTTCCTCAATATCTGATGATAGTTACATGGTTAAAGGAAAATCATTTAAATAATCAGTTTCGATACTCTAGTTAAGGTTACCCCGAACTGCGGCCTCTGGGTCGGGCACAGACTGCAAGCACCTCTCATTCAGTCCACGAAAGTTTTTTTGATTACATGGTGAATTTAGAAATATGAAATTTAATAATTCGCTCTAACATGAGGTTACTACAACATTCGTTGCATGAGTTCTGATGGAAACCTAATTTCACAACTAATTGTCATTTATAGAACAAGTTTATACTTTCCTACCTACACTAGGAAAGGAAAGTATTGCAATCGGGTCAAATTTCCGATATGCGGTTTTCGACGGATCTATACGTTTCAGAGCCCCCTGAGTCCGAAAAACACATTTTAGCCATTTGTCTGTCTGTGCCAAGATTTTCTCGGGAACTACTGAACCGATTTTGTTGCTTCTTTTTTTATTTTGTAGGTTTTTGACTACTGATGCCTGTGACAGAAATTCGTTGCTAAATAAATGAAAAACATGTTTTCTATAGACTGTAGTGCGAAAACAGCTCTAACGATTTAGATGAAACTTTCATATAATGTTCTAATCATTGTCCTTTCAATTTTCGTATATAGACTAAATTCCCGAAAAAATTCAGGAAAAAAAGTTATAAAGAAAAGAAAAATGTTATAGGGCCTAACTCCCTAAGTATATATTATACGGTGAAATTTATAATAAAATTTTTGAAAGGTAATTAAATTACCAACAAAACAAAAAAAAAATCATCGGAATCGAACCAGTATTAGCGATGATACAACTTATTCCATTTTTTAACTTATTACTTTCCTACCTATATTAGTTATAGGTATAGCCGTTTAGCCTGTCGTTTGAAAGGTAATGAAATTCCCTACAAAGTCATATAAAAATCTTTCATTTTGGAAAACTATTAACGAAGTTACAGCTATTCAATTTCCAATGTAATATTACGGGCTCATATCCTGGTGTCAGAAAGAGATGAATGAGGGAATAAAGATGACTAAGTGAAAGTAAGAAAATCTGTTGCCCGCATCACACAATCTTTACTATTTCCTCTACTTTTAACAGAAATAATTGTTTGACAATACTAAGCTATGGTAAAAAGTTTTTGAGCAGCAATATTAGTGAATATTGACATTTTTACACTGATCTATCTTAAGCAGGTTTACATCGCTTTAGTTTATCAAATAAATCGTACTCAAATCTTTTGTATGATCAATTTTCAGGAAAATAAATCTAATTCAATTATTTTTTGTTTCTTCATGAACATATGAAAAGAAATAAAAACTTTTCTGAAATAGGTAGGAAAGTCGTGTGAGTGGACACACCAGATATTTTATTTTCACCACAAACTACGGCCGAGAAGGTCTCAATGCTGCCTCCTGGCTTAATTACAATGCCAAAGATTTTGGGGAAAGGTTTGCTGTTTATCTGCTAAATTTGATACTTTATACATCTTATAGTTGCATGGCTACCTTTCATTTACTTCATAACGTTTTTCGATTACGACACAGTCTCGATAAACTTCTCAGTAACTTACAGACCACTTTACGATTTTCAGATTTTAACTTACAGTTTTTACAAAAGGCCGTAGAGAAGAAATTGAACATCGTAGGTATTATTTTATGAAATCAAAATATGCGCAAGGCTAAGATTGACCAGAATAGCTCAAAACTCCCATTTTGGAGCTGTTCATATATTTATACAACCAGAGGTAAAAACATATATTATATATTTTTTTCAAACACATGAATAATTATAAGAACAATAGTTCAAATATTAATAAATTCTTATGTACCCCGGGTGATGAAATATTTGGAAATTACATTCGCATAATATCCTAGGACAGAGGTCTCCAAAGTATTTGTCCCTCGGGCCACACTGATAACTCAACTAATATAAGTTAAGAGACATCCAATAAGTATCGCTGGCCATGGATAGGGATAAAGAAAAAAAATTCTGTTCTATAAAAGACACTTAAGTTGTGATATGAGCATGCAATAAATGTTGTAGTAACGTTGTGTTAATTTACTAAATTTTATATTTTTATATTAATTTAATAGTTTTTAAAATTTTATCATTTAATCAAACAAGATTGATTTCGAAATTAAATCAAATGGCCCGCGGGCCGTAATTTGGAGACCCCTGCTATAGGACAACGTTTTGCAATTTTTTACCAAAGAAATTGAATAAATTTTGGTAATTGTTTAATTTCCGAAACATCATCAACCTGAAAAATTTAAATCCGAAAGTAAATTATGTAATAATATCGCTTCTTGTTTATTATTTTCAATAATCAACCATTGTGATCGACCAAAAATTTCAAAAACTTAACCCCTCTCAAAATTTGAGGTTTCACGTTTCAGGATGCGTAGAATTCGAAAAACGAATAGAAATTTTTTTGTCCGTCCGCCGTCCGCATTTTCTCCGAAACTACTGGACCGATTTTTTTTCTTCAAATTTTGATATAAAATTAGAGGTCATCCGAGGATGATCCTCCTTCATCGAATTACTATCCGCCTTTTACTTTCAAAATTGCGGCCGAAAAACCTGCGTTGCTATAGACTGTAGCTCCTAAACGAATGTACAGATTTCAATGAAACTTCGCTAAAGTCATTTTCTCGACGCCCTTTCAATTTATCTATATAACATACTTCAACGAAAAGAAGCTGGAAAAAAAGTTACGAGGGATGGTAAAATTAAATTCCGAATAACTCGAAAAGTTTATACTTTTTTGTTGATATTGTATGGTTTTTAAAAGTTTACAAAATATCCTAAAAAATCGTTAAAATCGGACAATTAGGAGCAAAGATATGGTCTCCGGTTTTTTTTTATGTTCTACTCCAAATGTTATATCCTTGATTTGGTTTTTAAATTTTGAATGTGTTACTGAACTAATGCTATTTTTTGTTAGCATATTATTAATGATTAAAAAAAAAAGTTTTGTCGAATAGTTGGAATCACCTTTTGTTTATTTTTTTTTGTAACTCGGAAGGTAATGTTACTTAAGATGTATAATTGTTTGGAAATAATAAACCATTGTGAAATAATTTGCAGCTTCTTGTTTTTTTTCAACCTCCTGAAAACAATGTACATTTTATTTAACATTTAAAATATAAGACCAATAGCATATTATAATTTATCAGCAAAAATATTTAAAAACACTTAATTTTGCGCCGTATAAACTAAAGTGCCCAACTATTCAACAGATTTATTACAACTTTATCATTTATACCCTTGAAAATATACTGCATATGTATAATATACTTCAAACTATAAAGAACATGTTTATACACATTTAAAAGTTAATATCCCATTGGTCCTAGACATTATCCCTCAAAAATTTTCCAAATTCCACCAAAACCTTACGTATCGTCCAAATCCAATTGCACAATCCCTCTCCAGCACTACTCATCCCTACAATCCTCGAAGGTTGAAGCGGCAGTGGCCCAGAGATTTGTTGAAAGAATATATAGGAGTTATGGCAATGGCCAAATTCTCCACTCAAGCCATGTATGTCTGGTTTATTTATTTTCTTAGATTGGTTTATTTTTATTTAGTTTAATATCTTTTAATTTATATCACTAGCGGATCCAGGATTTAATTTTGGGGGGCTTCAGCCCGAAAGATTTTTTTTTTCATATACACATAACGATAATTAATTTGAAAAAAAAAATAAAGAAATTAATTACCTATATGAAATGATATTTAAGTGGTTCTTGAAGTCCTATTAAATATCATTACACGAACAAGAATACTTTAAGAGATAGTTTTTAATATTTTTTTCTGTAAAACATGATTACATTTTACCATTGTGGGGGGGCTTCAGCCCGAAAGCCCCCTCCCCTCCCGTAGATCCGCCTGTGGTTTATATACAATTTACTTTAGTATTATTATATTGCCGTTTATTATTTTTATTTATTGTATGGTATGAATGAGCTAATATGTATCACTATTACTATTATCCTTGAATGTGACAGATTGTGATATCTCAATAAAGAAGTTAAAAAAAAAAAAATTCAAAAATTTTTTTAGTTCAATCATGAATATCTGAACTAATGCAGAGTTAACATTTACTTCACGAGCTAACTAGATCGTAAATAATGTAAAGTTATGTAAAAAAATAATACATCTGGGTAAGAAAAAACTCAAATACAAATTTAGCCAACTAGGAGATATGAGGGCTATCAGGAGTTATCTGGACACAGAGCAGGCCAAGGATGATAGGTCAGTCTGCCTCCAGTTGAACCTCAGGACAGTTCCTCTTCAGGTCTCTCGTCCAGGATGGCCTTCAAGGTACCCGTCGTTGAGAAGAGTTGCTGTGGCTGCAGCCTCGAGACTGGTACAAAGATTATAGGATTCTTCCATGTAGTGAGTCAATATCTTGTTAGAACGATCTTTTGGTGGCAAAATAGGTTACAGACTGATCATTCTCATAAATATTACAATCCTCACCTCAACTATAATTACTATATTTGTGCTTTCTTATAAGAATGAAGAATATAAAAATAATGCCATTATTTTTTGTTTTGCTATTTGAGCTTTGATTAATAATACTGCATCATAACATGTTAAAAAGTGTTTTCTCACATATTTCGTTCTCCTTATTTCTGATTAATGTCTTGTTTATTTGTTATCGGCAAGTTCGTTAATGTAACACTTTCCTTTTTTATAATTGTAGAACATGAAACTAAATATAATTTCCTTCTTTGTCATTTGGCCTTGCTATACTCCAAAAACTAAATAAGTCTATCTTGTTATTATCTTTATTAATAAAATAATTAGTTTTAATGCTCTCTTGTAAAACAATCAATTTTTACATACGACTTTTTGTCCTGACAGTAGTGATATGTATGTTTATTATGCATTGGTATTTTTTTTTTAAAATTAAGAATCATCAAATATGGAATCTTAAAATACGGCACTTTTTCGCATTTTAATATTAGCTAGTAAAAGAAATTTGTGGATAGCAAACCCGCGAATGTTGAAGGATAACTGTATTTCCAAATCGGCTTCTCCCACGGATTTTATTCTCATACGAAAAATTATATACCTTGTAATATAGATATATTTTAGCCATTGAAGAGGACGAGGAAGCTGACTTTACTTGCAGACGTTTTTTTTTTCTGATACTCTATCATTTTTTTATTTATTTTTAGTTAGTTAACAAATAAAGTTATGGAAGATCAGAAAAAAAATTATAATTATTCACATGTTTGTAAAAAATGCAATATTCATTTTTGTCTTTAGTTGAATGTACGTTTTGTCTTAGTATAAAAAATGTATCATTATTATTATTATTAATATACATAATTAGAAAGAAACCACTTGCATTTATTTATTTTTTTATATTATAACAATATATCTGCTTGTAAAAACATTGTTGTTTAGTAAACCAATATAACGTTTAATAAAAAAAAATATTTTTTACTAAACCAGTATATTGTTTAGTTAAAACATTATTTAATAGATTAATCGAATAAAACCCAAATCTAATAGTAAATGTTAACTCTGTGCCCCTTTTAAAGATTAAGAACATCAAGGCCAGAAATATCGATAATTTTTATTGATGTTTAGATTTTTACATCCCCATTCTTTAAATAATAAGGCTTGATATACCATTATTTTTTTTCGAAGAAAAAAATAGACATCACTAAAATGGTGTTTAAGTGGTTCTTGAAGTCCTATTAAATGTGACTACGCGAACAAGAATACTTTAAGAGATAGTTTTTAATATTTTTTTCTGTAAAACATTTTACCATTTTGAGGGGAGGGCTTCAGCCCGAAAGCCTACCATCCCCCCGTAGATCCGCCTGTGATCTTTGCCATATTTACTGCAACATAAAGAATTCTTACAATTTTTTCCCAATGTGACCCCAACGAAGACAATTATAACATTGAATTTTACGTGGCACAAAATGATCTAGTCTACAAATGACTTCATGAATAGATAAAAATTTTGGGAGTTCTTGACCTCGTAACAGTTATCATTTCAGATTCTGTAGGGAATCTGGAAACGTTTTTATCCTCTTTCACTAGTGGATCCAGGATTTAATTTTTAATTTTGGGGGGAGGGTGGCTTCAGCCCAAAAGTTTTTTTTTTCATAAAAATAACGATAATTACTTTGGAAAAAAAGAAAGAAGCTAACTACCTATATGAAATGGTGTTTAAGTGATTCCTAAAGCCCATTTAAATGTAATTATACGAACAATAATACTTTAAGAGATACTTTTTAAATATTTTTTTCGATAAAAAATGGTTATATTTTAGCATTTTGGGGGGGAGGCTTCGACCCAAAAGCCCCTCCCCCTGTAGATCCGCCCGTGCTATATGTTTAATGGAAAAAATTGATCGGTTCTCAGTAGCAAAATGCAATACTACGGCAGAAGTAATCCTCCATAAATCTGTTCTTATGAGATTCATCATATTTTGTAAGAAATCACTCACGCTTGAAATATAGGTTCCTTTCACAATTTTGACGTCGAAATGGTTTTTCTTATTCGATTTTCTCAATACACCCATCAGAATATCAGCAGCAAAAATATTCTTAATTTTCTTCTGACATTTTTCTATTAATGCAAAATCTCAACCATTCCTGAAATTAAAATTGATTCACTTCAGTATATGTTTTTTTATGTACTGTATCCTGACATCACAGACCACTTTTTTTATTTTTCTGTCCTACAAAGTTATAAAACAAATTATTAGATTTTATATTTCTGGTTGAGTGGCTGTGAACTTCACAGAGTACGCCACATTTCATCAGTACCCCTTTTTATAAGTTTAATCCCTCATACTCCTCTCTTCCCTGTCAAAAAAAAGAGTTGTAAATGTTGTAACTATTAGAGCTCCTTAAAGCCAAAGCTAATAAGAATGTCTTAAGTTTTCTTTTTGGATTCATTTTAAAATGGTCCTGCATTGTCTTAGTCCGAATCTAGTGAATGCTAAGGTTTTTTTCTATAGCTTAGGCATCGTCATCCGACCCATCATGTTCAATGCATAGAGTTTCAAGTCATTCAAATTTGATTAATATTTTTTATGAGCCCATTTTGACTCAAATACAAACTAACCAAATTCATCCAATTTAAAACGTGGAACTAACTGTCGTTTGTCGATTAGTAATACCCAATTTCTGAAATTAATTGCCTTACGAAGCTGAAAGTAGAAATTACCAATACAAATATAAATATAATTAAATGGTAGTTAGTTCATTAAATGTACAATTTATCACTGTACGTTAAATGAAATTTTAAATTATATCACCTCCAGGTAATGATAAAATTGCACTTGTTTACTCAAATGACAGTGTTTGAAGAAATAAGTTAAATTAATGTTCATAGTTTTAGTAATAAGTTTTACTACTAGTACTTCCACTTGAATCGTAAGATAATTTTTACAAAAAAACGAGGAAAAAGGTGGCCTTCAAAAATATTGAGCCGTTTGGCGTGACTTACACTCCCAAGTTGTCAAAATAACGAGGACTTTATTGGCCAAAGTGCTCAATATTTTTGTATGCCACCTTTTTTATAGATTGTGTGATCAAATTATTTTACTATTCAAGTGGAAAGCAAATGGATATTTATGAGTTTTTAATACCTAATTAAACAGACAAAGTTTGCCGATCTAAAGGTTGAAAACGCACCAATTCCGTGAGTTTTTATGAATACAACATTTGTAGATTACGATGAGATGAAGATATTAACGAAGTTTTATAAATTTGATAAAAAGAGGGTCTGTACCACGGATTATAATTCTTGTACTTCCTATAACAGCATATAGGGGATGTCAAAATATTAACAAATTTTCGTAATTATGTTATTAAATCAAGAAAGGTTGACTGAAAAAAATATGTATAATGTTACAAAGAAATGTAAAAAATAAATAAATAAAATAAGGGAATATGGTTATACGATAGCAAGTGAAATTAGGTAGAATTAGATTAGAGAGAAAATAGTAACGTCGATGAAAGAGGATCATCCTCGGGTGACCTCTGATTTTAAATCCAAATTTGAAAAAAAATCGGTTTAGTAGTTTCGAAAAAAATGGGCGGACGGTGGACGGCGGACGGACAAAAAACTATTTATTCGTTTTTTGGATTCTACGTATCCTGAAACGTAAAACCTCAAATTTTGAGAGGTGATTAATTTTTTTAATTTTTTAGTCAACCACAATGGTTCATTATTGAAAATAATAAACCGAAATAAATTTGTGTTAAGGCTCAATGTGTTAAGGCTGCACGATTTAAACATGAAATAAAACATTTCTTCACTTCTTATCTTTCTCATTTTTTCTCGTATACCTTTTAATAATTACTATTTCTTTAATGTGAAACTATCTATAACAATCTTTTAAGATCGTCAATAAGCGACGATATAATTTTATTTTTATTTTTTCAGTTTCTCATAGGAGGCCTCTTTTTAACAGTATTCATATTCCACATCGTTGACGAATACAAAAGGTATCACAGAGGGGGTGTCATCTACAATGACACCTTTAACGCAGGTAATTATACAAGTAGCAATTAATGCTCTCATGCTTATACATTTACAGGTTTATATTATATTATTATTACGGGGCTGGGGCACCCGTGCGGGCTAAGGCGCTTGCAATAGGTGACCAAGTTAAGCTAAGCCGAGCGTTGTTAGCACTTGGATGGGTGATCGCCCGATTAGGGTGACCGTCCACCAGGAAAAACCACGCTGCCCGAGTATCCCTCCCCGGGTTTGTGAGCCCGTCATCCTACTGAAGACAACTCACACCGACCGGACGTGGGACTAATGACCCTATCTCCGTTTACTTAAATCAGCAATCGGGATGTGGTCTAGAAGACCACATCTCGCGATCAAAGTTCTACAAATTCTGTAGCGCCAACCGAAGAAAAAAAATTCATTCAACATATTTGGAATATCAACAATAGGCGGATGAGGGAAATACACAGTTGATATAGACAAGTGCCCTGCTCCACTGTCTAAGGTCACAATTTATTAAAGTGTTTTTGTTTTTTTTATTTTAATGAAATTTACAACTGTATTAGATAGAAAATACAACAAGTAACATGACATGTACAACATAAAGAGAAACTACCCATTGGTAGAACTCAAATTAAAGTTCTATATTAGAAGATCCCGAGGCCATCTTCTTTTCAGACGCATCGGAAGGTTATCAGGGATCGAAGAGGAAGTAAGGTTTGAAACGAGAGGATTCGGATGGTTCTTCAGTTTGTTATGGAAGGATAGGTATCTGGATTGGGCCAAATCGGAAACATATGGAACATTAAGATCTTTATGGATGATTTTATTTGTGACAAAGTAAGGAGCGTTGAGGATTTTACGAAGGATTTTGGATTGTAAGGATTGGATACGAGAGGAATTCGATGGTTTAGTGGAGCCCCAAAGCTCAATTCCGTAAGTCCAAATAGGTCTTATTATTGTCATATATATGAGTCGTTTGTAATTGATTGAGAGCTTAGAGCGTTTGTCTAGTAAGTGCTGCAGTAGTCGAAAACGTCGGGCGGTTTCTAGTCGTTTCAGTCTGGTATGGGGGTTACAAGTGACTCGTTTGTCAAGGTGGAGTCCTAAGTATCGGATTTGTTCAACAGGGATAAGAGGGCTATTGTTTAAGGATACTGTAGGACAGGAAGTCATAGGTTTACGACGAAGAGTGAAGGTAATTTGATGGGATTTATTGGAATTTATTTTAATCCTCCAGTTTTGACACCATTTTTCAAGACTTGTGATGTGTGATTGAAGAGTTTGAGATGCAATAGATGGATCGTTATTAACTGATAGGATAAACGTGTCATCGGCCTTTATAAAAGTAAATTGTGAAACTAGAATATACTGCTCAGTTTAAAACAACAGGGCAGACTATCAATTACCCTTTTGCTCACTATGGTACTTTTACATAGGTACAATAAATTAATGAATATTTTATTTCAACTCATGAAGTCTGAGATCCAGAACTTGCTAAGGACCTATACAGAGCGGGGTTAAACCACTAATAAGTGCATTCAAATTTTTTTTTTTTCTCACACCAAACTCGGTTTTAATTTGAACTTTTAGGGCCAAGTTTTCTAAGGTCGACCGATCAAGATTAAACTTAGTTTATTCTTAGGTAACGCTTAATATAAGCTTTACTGAGTTGGAGCAACTGGCCCTTAGTATCACGGGCGATCATTACTCATGTTTGAGACGTTAGGATCCCGAATAAATTTTATAACAGTATTATTTTATCCGAAACTTCCTGGAAAAGTTAAAAATAATAAACTAAAATGAATTAAAAAACCAAATCTACTAGTTTTATGCATTTGATTACTGGGATGCAAAAGTCGTGCACCGTACAAGCAGATTGAAAGAGGAATTGTGGAAAGCCTCAGCTCAGATGCCAGGACGATGTAGAAGTTCGGTAGCAGCAGACAAGATGTGTGTTGAAGAAGTGATTAACAGAGTCCATGGTACTTCATATGATTGGTAATTATGAGCCTAACAATGCATGAAATAATTACTAAGCGGTATGGAGACTCGGAAAACCTAGGACCAAAGATTAAAACATTGAAATTATAAGCTAGAAAAAAATGTTAACTGATATTTAAAATATCTTTCACAAGATGTATGTATTAAACATAAAATGTTGTTTATTTGTATTTTTTTAAATAAACTAGTTGGCCTATTAGAATAATTGACATGGTACTTTTGTCAGTGAACAGATGGCAATATGAAAATTAGTAAAAACAATGCATAACATTATGAGAGGAATAAATTGATTTTCATTCAAAATGATAGACCAAAACGTGTATAAATTACAGTTGGCTGTATCTTTGCCAAAAAATGGTCCGATTTTGATTTATTTTTACATGTTGTAAAGAATTTAGAAACCTTTATTATTATGATTGGCATAATCAGTTGATTCTATGAATTCATAGTTATGAATTCGATAATTTTATATATATATATATATAGTTGGAGTTTTGCAATATTCTATTTTTTTTTAATGAGTTTTATAATAGTAGCAATTAATGGATCGAAATTAGGATTCATCACCTGTTTATTAAGTCCAATTTAGTTTAATACCTCATTCATCAAAACCCTCCTGAGAGTCGGAAAAATGGATACCCTAGAGCGTATTATATATAGTGCCGATCAATTTAATCCGTTAATATTATTCATATTAAACTGATTGTTGCTATCAGATTTTTTTTTAATACCGATAGGTTCTTACTTTAATAAATTTATTTACTTTTCAGCTTTTTTCAGAGACGAGTTTCTGCAGATGACAATTTTCGGGAATCTGGCCTTCTCTGCATGCCTCCTCTACGGCACGTTTAAGGTAATGAATAGACTTCTAGGTTCTGTGGTAAATATTTCTATTTCTACACAACAATCGCCAGAAAATAAAAGACAATATAATCTCTCACACTTTTATAAGAGCTCCTAGTTGTCTATTTTTATAACAGTGACAACGAAAAACACAATGCATGAATTATTGAAATTTTTTCGTAACAAATCATTCGAATATAAATGTATTTAATATCTCCAACTTAACATCTACGTTGTGATGAAAAAAGAAGAAAGAGTAAGAACTGATTATTTTCCCTCAAAATGCACTAAAAGTAATGAATTTTCCGCCGAAAAGTAAACGCGATACTAAATATTATTTGTCAAAATATTACATTCCAATGCATCATTATTTGTTTATATGTTGCAGAGAGATAGTGTCTTCTTTGAACCATGGTTGGTTTTGAAGACTACAGTTATCGTCCAAGGGATCTTCAATGTAGGAATATACATTGTTGTCCGTGCTATTGGACACAAGACATTGGACATATTTCTACAACTGTTCAATGTTGGTAAGTCCTCTGCTAGTTTCTATATTTTATAAATATGAATATACACTAACAGGCAAAAAATTCCACCCACTTGATTTTTTCATGTTTTCATCTAAAAATATTTCTGCTTTGGATTGGTCTATTGTTTTTAATGAATAAATAGGTAATATTTTTGTTTGTTTTCAATTAGGAATGTTAATCTAGAGAACAATAACCCTTAATCCTTAATTCAATGAAATGATTCTAGATTCCAATGTTTACTTTCTATGGAATCAAAATGTTTATTCAGTATCATTAGTTCAGTGCCGTTTCTTGCAGCACATTTCTTAGTCTCCGTCTTTTAATTTTTTCAATATTAAGTTTAAAAATGCCTCTTAGTGCTGAGGATGTTGCGCGTGGTGTGGCACTTATTGATGATGGACGTTCCATTAGATATGCAGCTAATGCCATCGGAGTTCCATATGAAACTTTACGAGACGCCGTCAGGCGTTTTCGGGAAACTGGTTCTTTCAACAGAAGGCCCGGTTCTGGACGGCCTAGGGTAACAGAACCACGGGATGACCGGTTTTTGACTTTGAGAATTTTACGAAACCGGCACCTTACCGTTGTTCAAGCGATTCATCAGCTCGAAGAAGTTCGAGGTGTGCAAATTTCTGAACGTACCGCTCAGTGAAGATTAAATGAGTATGGATTAACGGATTTTCGTCCAGTAAGAGGACCAGAGTTGACCAGAACTCACAGAGTAACATAGCTGGCTTTTGAACACAGCCATTGGACTATGGACGAATGGAGTGCTGTACTTTTTGCAGATGAGTCAAGATTCGCTCTTCGATCTCCAGACGGTCGTGAAAGGGTGTGGAGAAGAAGAAACGGAAGATATGCAGCCTGTAATTTTTGCCCAGAGCCAACGTTTCTAACGTGGTTCCTTAATTGTGTGGGCTGGGATTTCAATGGAGCGTCGCACAGAATTGGTTGTTGTTCGTGGAGGGTCTTTGACAGCCATTCGCTATGTAGATGAGTTTTTGGAACCTCATGTGTTGCCTATCCTCAACGAAATCGACGATCGTTCCATTCTAATGCACGACCATATGTAGCCCGCATAGTGCAGACGTTCCTTCAACAGAACAGTATTGAGGTTTTAGCCTGGCCAGCTCGTTCTTCAGATTTGAACCCCATTGAGCATTTATGGGATAACCTCGGAAGACGAAAAAAGAGCGTGTGCAACACTTCCTGATACGCTACAGGACCTTGTAACGGCTCTTCGGGAGAAATGGGTTATCCTCCAGCAAAGGAACATTTCCCGACTGGTGGAAAGTATGCCGAGGCGTCTTCAAGAAGTAGGGAAGGCAAGAGGAGGAAACACACACTACTAAATGATGATGTAATTCATTTCTTTTAGAATAATAATGATTCGTTTTTCAATTTTTTTTTCTCTAATCTTTCTTACCCAATCACATTTTGATTATTAAGGGTAATAAAGATTATAAAATTCTATAAATACTAAGTATTATCAACAAATACCATGTATTATATACAAATACGACTTTACAGAAATATTTTTAGATGAAAACATGGAAAAATCAAGTGGGTGGAATTTTTAGCCTATCAGTGTACTTTTAAATTTTTATTTTTTATTTAATGTTGTCCCATGTTTGATTTATTCTGTTATTCCAAGTTTTTTTTCTTTTCTCTTGTTATAATCTTGTTTTTCTTTTGTTACGGTATGATTGTGTTTCATACATCCTAAATACATAATCAATGCCCTTAATTGAGGCAAAATGTATTTTATTCCAATAAAAAAAAAAGATTAAAAAAAAAATTCTATATTTAGGTTTCAACAGTAGACAACACTTGAGTGATTTTCTAAACGCTATTTTATTATTGTACAGAATGTAGCTTCTATATTGTGATGAAAATAATGTAGAACATCACTTAATGAAAAATTCAATTTTACAAATATGTTATATATATCTACATGGCTTATCTGCATACAATAAATATCCAAATCAAAACAAATTTATATTCACAAAGGATTTGATATCTCATACCAGTTACTAGCACTGGGCCAGTATAGCCAGGTATAGCAAATATTTTACATTTCATTCAACTCGAAGAATATCAAAAAATATCATTTGAAAACTACACCAGTGGGAGTTTTAATCTTGGATGGGGAACAAAAATAAGATAAAATCGCTAAAATATAAGCAATGGACGGTTGGGAAATGGATTAACAGCAACAGGTTGGTAATTAGTATTTCATCATTTTGAAAGAAAGTGATTGAAAAGTTTTGGGAGCTATGGCCTACGCTGGCTTATATAGATATATTACAACATATTAAGTAAAATAATGTATTGTAGGCAACAGCAAATTTGGAGTGGGGGAGAACTTTCGAGCTGAGACCAATCACTCTCTCTTTCTCCCTCCTCCCTTTTCTCAGTGATCCATAAATGTTTCTATGAGTGATCTGAGCCAAATACTTAAACAATGACAATATGTTCTCTTCTTAAATTATCTATTTTGTTATCATGCATGTATAACTACTGAGCATGTCTAAATATAAAAACTATCTATAATGGTATAATTGTTCCCGTAATTACTAGGGCTCGGATCTGAAGACATCAATTTTTAAAGAATAGCTCGTGAAATCAAATTTTAGATCTAAAAAATATTGTTAAGTCATTTATTAAAAATATTATATAGCATTCAATAAGTATTTGTCCATTTAAACATGGAAATTACAAATGAATATAGTAACACTGCGTACGAAAATTAAACCATAATGTTTACAAGAATTAAAATTTTAAGAATTAACATTAATTAATAACACACGGGTGAGTTCCTAAGCACATCGCTAATAACATCGATGGATTCCATCAATCGATTCAAGCCAGAAGCGATGGACAGCGATTTATGCTTAGTTCAGGAACGAACAGATAGGTTAACACTCCTAGCAGATTACTAAACACATGAAAAATATAAAAATGTTCATATAAATATCTATCTGCCGAATCGGTGAATTTCCAATAGGATATACAAGTTCCTAACTCAGCGCTGAACTCATTTATGGCGTCGTTTCGCAAAGTTTATAGAAGGATCCGATGCTATCGATGAGCTCAGGACTTAGTTTGGGAAAACTTTACCATATAGATATGAAGTAAACTTAATATGAATATATGAAATTTTATTTTATTTTTATTATTACATATTTTGTTTTTCTCATGGTTATGCCAGCACATCTGCTGATTGTCGATAGATATAATTGACAGTTGCAGATAAATAAATGAAAGTGCAAAAAAAAAAAAAAATTAGTGAGTTGACAACCTCTACTCCCTAATTAAATCCTGAATTTTCTACTGACCTTAGGAATAAATAATTTAAGGAAATTTGTATATATATTAACCAATAAATAACCATTGTTTCTCACACTGATTATAGCTAAATCATTTATATATCCTTAATTATTTGTTTTAGTTCTGGAGAGCTATATGTTCATAGTGGTCCACAGTCTATACAAAGAGGTCAAAACTAATGCTCACACCTAGAAATAATCTGGAATGTATTAATGCATGAACTAGTGCCAAAAAAAAAAAAAAAAATCAAAACAGCTCATGTGGAATCCATGTATTATTGACTAGATTCATTATAATAGTTAGATTGATTCTAATTTTTTTTTTATTTATTGAGTATTACAACAATCTGTCACTTGGACAATAGTTATAATGAGGTAGGATAACATTCACACTTAGAGCAACAAATAAAAACAAAAATTACTTTAAAATATAAGCTGTCAATATAAATTAATTAATTAGCCATATATGGTTTACCATAGTTTGTTTTATATATATGCATACAAACACACGCTCATAAATATATTAATATTTTTCTTATAGAAGGAAAGAAAATATATTCATTTACTGTTTAATATTTTAGAACTAACAAGATGGCACAATACAATATAATCATTATAAGATTTCATTATTTATTAACATTACTTAATTAACTGCTAATAACATGATTGAATCAAATTTTTTCAGTATTTATCAAACTGAAGAACGAAAATGTCCATAATTTTATGGTTAAATTGTGATAAATGGTCCCTAAGATAATATTTTAAATAATATTCTATTTGAATGTATAAGAAAATTGTCTTAAACCTATAAATCTATAATAATAAAAATTATTATTCAACGAATAGTGATATGAAACTTCTAATGTAAATAAGTCAATTATTTTGTCGATACTTATTTTTAACACCTATTTATTAACATGAGAAAATTTAATTTTGAAATAAAATTATTGTTTTTTGGGTGTTGAATTTAAATTTATCAAAAATAATTTGAGCAATGTAGCATAATAGCCCCTTTTCATCAAATTATTAACATCCCCCTGAAACTTCGTTTATAGCTTCATCTCATCCTAACCTAGAAATATTTGATTTACGAAAACTCTTGGAATTGAGGAGTTTTCCATCTGAAGGGGGACAAACTTTGTCTATTTAATTAGGAACTAAAAATTCGAAAATACGCATTTGTTTTCCACTTGGAACGTTAGATAATTTGATCACAAAATCGAGAAAAAAGGTCTAAAGTAATATTGGTTCGTTTAGCCTATATAACCTCGTTATTTTAATATTTTGGAGGTATAGGTCATGCAAAACGAGTCAATATTTTTGAAGACCACCATTTTTCTCAATTTCGGACTTAAATTATCTTACGATTGAAGTGGAAAGCAAATGAGTATTTACAAGGTTTTAGTACCGAATTAAATAGATCACGTTTGTCGATCTCCAGATTTAAAACGCCCCAATATATAAGTTATAATGAGATGAAATTATTTACAAAGTTTCACCACGGCATATTAACTTTTGATAGAATGAACCTCATATATTGTATATTTAATGTATTAATTGTTCTAATGCATATTGAAAATTAATATAAGTGGTTAAAAAGCGTTTTGTTAATTTCATGAACTTACAACCATCATTATGAACAAAATTAAACATATATGGGTCATTTTCAAAATGTATGCAACAATGTAGTCCATAGGTTTCAGTTTCATTTTATTTTATTTGTTCTCCTTTACTTCGGAGATGACTTTAAATTGTACAAATAAAGCAACAATAATTATAGAAAATTAGCACTATATGATGTTTTTTTGTCTATTGTTATTCTATGTATAGTATGTTTATATATATATATATATATATATATATATATATATATATATATATATATATATACAGGGTGTCCCATAAGTAGAGGGAAATATTTAAAAGATTGATAGTAGACATCAAGATCTACAAACAACTTATATAAATAATTGCCCAATTTCCAGCAGAAAAGTAGGAAATTTAAGATTTGTGTTTCTTTAAGCGAGTCACATTTCTTGTTGAATAGGAAGCTATAATTTACAAAATATTTTAATTAAGTAACTAAACATTGCTCCTTAGTAAACTAGACAAAATTTAATCTAAATGAAAGTACAGTTTGTTATTGTTAAAACTATTTAAAGAGCGAAACTATTGGGCGAACAAACACAGCTAAGTTCTGTTTTAAAAAAAATGATACATTATTTGTGATTTTTTTTTATCACCCTTCAGCTGTACTACATTACCCCATTTTTGGAAAAACATTGTCATCTAATAACCTTTGATTCCATATTAATTAACATGAGGTTTATTAGGGAAAAAATCTAAAGTTGTGTAAAAAAATTATGTGATTTTCTATTTTGTCACCTAGAAGTACCGGTGTTTTCTATTAAAATGGCTAAAATTAACTCTCGCAAAACTTATATTTATTGTTTTTCCGTGTTATGGGATGTATTTTATTTACAACTTTAGATTTATAAAGTTGTAACGAAGATTCGGTGACCAAATTGAACGAAAATCTGAATAAACTGGTTACCTCTCCCTTGCTGAAGCCGGAGCAGAAGCTAAACATTGTCAACCAATATCTGTTCCCGGGTCTTACTTACCCTCTCACAAAGCTGCGTCCTGCCATACTTGACGGCATCGACACCATGATTCGCAGGAGTGTGAAGGCTATTGTTGGACTCCCTGCGAACACCTCCACGGCGATGTTGTACTCTCCCAGGAGGTATCGAGGATTAGGATTAATCCGCTGCCAATGGGAGGCTCCTCTACAACATTGGTCCATTGCTCAGCGACTGTCCAATGTGCCCGATGCCCTTTTTCTGTCGATCTTTGATTATTCGGCTGAGGTTGATGAATGTGCCGAGAGATTGGGGGTTGATAGGGGTATTCGGAATATGAGAGCTCTACGGCAGTCGCTTCGAGAAAATTCGTGTGAGGAATGGACCAATTGCAGGTGGTAGGGCATTGGAGTTCGCCATTTTAAAGAGACCCCGAAAGCCAACAAATACATGTATGATAAGCAAGTACTTTCTGGGTCTGAATGGTCAAATGCCCTGAAACTGAATATTAATTATGCACCCCTGCGTGGAGTCCCAGGTGTCAGCGGACAGGTAAGAGAAGTTGGGTCCCTCTGTCACAAATGCGACAGAGAGCCAGAAACACCAGCACATGTGCTTGGAAAATGCCCCAACAACTCCCTCCTTATAACGCGCCGTCACCACAGAGTCAAACATGAACTGATGAGGCTCCTTAAAGAGAGAGATTACGCCTGTTTCGAGGAAGTATATTGTATAGAAACGGATGGATCCACCCGATATGCCGACATTGTAGCATTCCCTAAGACGGGAAAGTCGGCGATGATTTTGGATCCGACCGTGAGATATGAGACCAACGACCTCGATCAGGCAGGAAAAGTGGAAAGGGAGAAAAAACAGACATATGAGAAATGCATCCCTTTCCTTAGTGAAAAGTTCCGCGAGAGTTTCGGGCCGAGAGAGTTCCACGTGAGAGGCCTTTGGTTCGGAGCTCGCGGAACGATACCAGACTCAACAAGGAGCTTCATGGAGGGCCTTGGTGTCGACATAAAGGACGTGGCAAGGTTGGCAGAGAACATAATCCTTGACTCCCTGGGAATTATCCATCACCATGTGCATGGATAGAGAGTTTGTTCATGGGGGGAGGCATGCGTGTTTTACAGCATTTTTACATTATTTATTGACCACGTCCACTGCACTTTATGTATTTGTATGCATGTTATGAATTAGGTTAGGAAAAGAGAGGAGAAAATCTAGGGAACGAGAAAAATGTATAGAGTGAGAGAAGGAACAGAAAGGGATGTATAGTGCTAATAAATGAATTAAAGAAATAGTAAAAATAAAATAAATAAATAAAAAAAATAAATAAAAATATAGGAAAAAAAATTATGATAAAAAAAAATATATATATAGATAAAAAAAAAAATTGTATATTATGCTCATATATGTTGTTAATACTATATAATTGTATATTAGTTTTGGAAAATTGTCTGTAGCGATTAATAAGTATGCTGTGTTTAAAGCAACCCAATGTAATTGGGCAGCACCCTTTTATGATAATAAAATGATTCTCTCTATAAAAAATAATAATTTAAGTTTCGTTATGAAACTCTGTTTTTCTGTGATAGGCAGCAGTACAGCACACAGTGGGACGTATAACCAATCTAGGCGGAAAAAAACTCTAACCCCTGATGGTTATTTTATTTATTTGCCCAATATAAAGAGAAAAATATATGAAACAACAATTTATATATATAATAAATAAACAATATATATATATATAATATATATATATATATATATATATATATATATATATGTGTAATTTTTTTTTTATATTTACAATTGTAAACAAATATACAACCAGTAAATTTGATATAGGAATATATAAGATGAAGGTACTTGTGAAGAAGCTACCCATTGGCAACACTTCAAAGATAAATTAATTTAGGAGGTCCCTCTTCTATTCAGACGCCTCGGAGGGTTGTCAGAAATTGTGTTGGATTAAAGGTTACAAACTAGAAGATTGGGCTGACCAAAGAGTTTGGAATGAAAAAAGGTATATCTAGCTCGGGCCAAGTCTTCCACAAGAAGCCTTTATGGATAATTTTATTTGTTACATAATAAGGAGCATTAAGGATTTTACGGAGGATTTGGGATTTTAAGGATTGGATACTGGAAGAATTTGATGTTTTTGTAGAGCCCTAAAGCTCAATACTGTACGCCCAAATGGGTAGTGTAAATGAGTTTTTGTAGAATATTGGAAGGTTAGAGCGTTTGTCAAGTAAGTGCTGTAGTAGTCGGAATCCGTTGGCAGTTTCTTGTCTTTTAAGTCTAGTATGAGGATTCCAGGTAAGGCGTTCCAGGTAAGAAGGAGTCCTAGGTAACGGATCTGTTCGACTGGGATCAGTGGAATATTATTAATGGATACGGTGGGACAGGATGTTGTAGGTTTATGGCAAAGGGTAAAAGTAATTTGTTGGGATTTGTTTGGATTAATTTTAATTCTCCAATTTGCACACCATTTTTCAATGGCTGAGATGTGTGACTGCAGCGTTTGTGATGCAACAGTTGGTTCATTATTGACAGACAACACACACGTGTCATCAGGATAGGTAGTGAGGACGATATTATGTAATTAATATCTTAAATGAACATAATAAAATGAATATGATATTGTTTGAAAACTACTCTTGACAATAGTGGATCCAATACAGACCTAGGCAAAAAGTATATTAAAATACAAATAAAAAAATTTACTATATTTTAATTAAAAAGTATT